TACGATCATTGCGCGTGTTGATGATGTCTTGATGATGAGACCTGCACCAATGAGAGCCGCTCACTTTGCGCAATGCTATTCAGCGATTTGTCTGCTACCGGTCTCACACAGGTTCCGCGCGGAATGTTGGCTGGCCTTACTTCTCTGCAACGTTTGTACGCTAGCCGTGTCTTTGAGGAATCAACATTTCGCGAAGGGGGGACAATCCTAACTCTCGCGTCTTGACAACAGGGAATTGCAGAACAACTTGCTTTCTACCTTGCCTCCTGGGTTGTTCCAGAATCTGTCTGCACTTACACAAGTGGATTTGTCAGGGAACTCGTTTGGCGCGGTTGCCCCTCCCAGCACGTACCGAGTCTTAACCAGCTTGTATCGTAAGGCATGCATGACGTTGCTGTGTTTCGACCTGTTTGTCAAATGTTAACTTTTTGTCACGATTTTGGCCTCTTAGAGTGTGATGCAGCGTGTGCCACTTGCTATGGAGCGGGCCCAGATGCATGCTGCGCCGCCTTCTGCCTCTCATGCAACTCGACCAATTGCACATCGTGCTATGTCGGTTCCGTCATGGTGGACGGTGTTTGTGGCCCACCGGCACCTCTTCAGATCATTGCTGCCAGCTTCCCCGCCACAGCTTTGGAAGGCAACGAAATTCAAGGAGTTATTACCCTCCACAATTATGGGAATACCTCGTTGGACAACGTTAAGTTGGGAATGTACCCCGGGTACGGTCTGCAGCTGGACCTGTATGATCAGCAACAAAAGCCTGTGCCCTATCTGCTGCAAGCTGAAGTTCAACAGGCGATAACTAGACTTGCATCGGAGACATCGCTTGACGGGTATATCGACGATATCGGACAAGTTTCCCTTGCTGCAGGTCAAACTCTGGCATTCCCTGTCAAGTTCGTTTTTCAAGGTCCCGCGTTTCCCCTTCTCTTTTTCTCTCGTTACGACGCTTGGTCTCTGCTCGTCCAAGATACCAGCAACTCTGTCGGTGTGATTTGGCGGATGGAACGTGAGTGAAAGGCTTTTTGTTTTTTTTTTGGTTGTTCGTTTGTTGTTGTTGCTGGTCGTTTCTTGCCGAGTTCGAATTGCTGACGCGTTTCCTTTACGTTTCTCTTTGCAACGCTATTCTTGTTGGCCAATCAGCGCAAGAAACCAACATTGCCGTTTCTCCAATCGCCAATGATGCTGAGCTTGTTTGTGGCTGCACACTGGCGATCAACGAGATGCCTGAACTCATGCTTCGGCGGCCGCTGGCAAAGCACCTTGTTCCCCTCGACACGAACGCCGTTATGGATCGTTTTCAGCTTTGCGCTCTTGCTACGGGCGGTCGAGTTACACTGCTGAATGTCACCACGGGCTCCAACCGCGCGTCGTGCCAGGAATCGTGCTTCAACTCGCCAACCTGCTCCTCCTTCTTGACCAACGATCCTTACGCTGCAAACACGGATCGGAGCATCCCACCGCTGTGCATTTTGAGCGGGGCTGATCGATTCGACAAGCAGTACCGACCAATCAACGCACTTCGCCGTGACACGTACCTTCAAGTCGACGATGTTATTGCTGCCAACTCGAGCGCCAATCTGAACAACATCACGTCCTTTCGCACTTTCGACGCACGCTTCCCGGATCGACCGTCTGTTACCACGACGATTTTGGCAGGCCCTGGGAGGATTATCGCTCAACCTTTCGCTCCACATGCCGTTGAAGTCGTCTCTGGGTTTTACGTCGCCAGCGCGACGGCTGATTTCCGGTTTGCGCTGTTGGTCAACCCCGCATTGCCAACTAATGAATTGGAGTTTATCGAAGCCGAAGTTCGCATTTTGCTCAAGCCGAACGTGACGGCGATGGACATTGCGCTGCTCCGCAAGGATGCCGACTTTTACTCGGAGCACTACATGGCGCTTGCTTTCAAGATGCCGAATGATGGCCTGTCTGAGCTGCCCTTCTCCATGACTGCCGGCAACCAGTACTACATTGAAGCGATTTTGTACTATCATGGCCTGTCCAGTGGCCTCACCCGTCCCGCTGTCACGTTGGAAGTGTTTTCGACAATCTATGCTCCAAAGCTCACACCCGAGGTTGGAAACGCTCCCATGGTGTTCTACCATCCAGAGCGTGCACGCATTGCTTTGGGTTGCTGGGCTGCTGCTGAACCCGAGTATGCAACTCTGGCCTCGGCCCACCAACAGCTTGAATTGGAGGCTTTTGCAGTAACTCGCGAGCCGAAAGACGAGGAATACTCCGCGTGCTTCGAGGCCATGGAACTGATCGATGGCGAAGTGACCTTGCGTCTCATCGGCCTTGGTGCTGATGGCGTCACGCAACGCAACGTCACAGTCACAATGTTGGCTCTGCCCTGCGACTCAGACTCGCCGCCCGCATCGTGCGGCATGCAATCAAACACGCTACCCACATCGTGCGGCTCATTCATCACCACGTTCATTCACGACTTGGATTCGCTTGAATTTCTCAATGTTACAGCTGACATTGTGGCCGTGACCATCAGTTCGTTCGTCAATGCGAAGGCGCCAAAGTTCACGTTTACCTTCCCCTTCTCGGCTACCAATGGGCAGTTGCAGTCGTTTATTTCAGGATTTCACACAGCATCCTCCAAGACAACGAGCATCTGTGTTAACAGTCCATT